GCTTTCAGGGGGCGGACGACAGTTTCACCCCCCCCACCGCCGAACTCAAACGTGCTTCGGATGCCGCGCCGCCAGCGATGTCCCATCTTCTGCTCCTTCGCACCCCACGCTGCCTCGGCGGAGCAGCAGCCCAGGAGGCACGCTTGACGCGGACACCCCGCAAGCCGGGTCCCGGCCTCTTTCACGAGAGGCGCAAGCAGCGCTGCTCCGTGTTTACAAAGGGTGCGTGCCGGCCGCTCCGAGAAGCGCTGGGATAAGCAAGAGCACAAGTGAGTACGCGCCAAACGTAACTCCGCTCTTCAAGGCTGCGGCTGCCTCAAGTTACCGGCCAAAAAAATTTTAAAAAAATAAAATAAATAAAATACAATAGGACCTTGGTGACAGACGGTGAAAGTACAGCTGGAAAACAGGCACGACTGAAGAGCAGGCTCTCAATACGCTGCAGCAAGCGGCTCTGAGCTCTCGCGGCTGCCTCACACTATTGCCCCGCACTCCCAAACCGTTTTCCTGCCCGACAGGCTGCAGCAGGGCCCAGGTGAGGAAAGCCTCCCCCACACCGCCTTCGTGCCCACAACAGGAGCAAGACCTGCTCGGGGGGGGAATCCTTCAGTTTGGCTGTTAAAGTAAAACGCCGCCGCTCGCTCCCACGGGACCTACAGACGGCACCCGGCTCCCCGTTCCTCTCCCGGCCTCAGTCACCGGCTGCGAGCAGCAGTCCGCGGCTTACGCGCTTGCCAGCGGCGACGGAAGAGTGTCTGTCCCCAGAGCATGCGGTGACGCTTAACCCACTACCCCGTAGACACAGGCGGGACCGTCAGCGCAGCTAGGGTGCAGCGGGTTCCCACCTGTAGCCGGGATAGTTAGCGAGAGACTTGGCAAAAGACCTTAGCAAAGCACGATTTGTTTGGCAGAGGTAACCGCAGACGGCAACGTTACATCCGATCCTTTTACCGGCAGGCTGACGGTTATTTACCCTCCCTTGGAAAAAAAACACCACCACACAAAATCAAATTAAAAAAAAAAGGCAAGCTGTTATTTACAAGCGTACGCACAGATTCCAGGACAGCTAGAAACGTAACACAGTGAACCAAACAGAGGGAAGGAAGTCCCAGGACCCTCCCGCTCCAGAGGAGGCTTTACACCTCTCGCCCGCAGCCCTCCTAGCGCTCGAGAACCACCGCAAAGAGCAATTCCGAGGACTGGCCCCCGACCACTGCCGAAGACAAGGCATCTCCATGGAAACCGCTGGCTGCATTTCACACGCGCTCCCCAGGACCTCAACAAGAACGACTGTACTTATTTCCACAAGTGCTTTCTCGCAAGCAGGGATTAAGGGAAGCTCTCTGCCTGACCTCCGGCTCCAAGCCCGACAAATCTGATCCCAAGCGAGGGGTCACGCTTCGCGCCGAAGGGAGCCCCCGGGCAGCAGCGCTAGGGAAGCGTCAAGCTCTCAGCCCCGCTGCCCGGAGAGAAGTCTGGGGGGGACACCAATCCACCACCCTGGGCTGCTCCGAAATCACCGTCGGGGGAAGCGATTTAAACGCCCTCCGTATGTTTACTTCCACAAGAAATTGACCCCCAAAGAGTTGCGGGGGCTCCTGAGGATTTTGCTGGCAAATACAGCGTTGCAGGTTGGTCCCTCGACCTCTCGTAGGAGAGGGCCAGAGCGACACACAGCAAGCAGCCTCCTGCCCCGACGGGGCGAGGAGAAGCTGAGCTTCACTAACTTCACTGCACGCCGGCGACTCCGTGAACTAGAGGGCACGGCAACGACGCAGACTTAACAGAAGCCCTTTGGGCGCACGTGGGGAGGCTCCGACATCAGCCCCCAGGCAAGTCAGCTCACAGTACTAAGTTGTCGTAGGGTGCGGTTGCTCTCTGGAAGAACTCGAGCACCACTGAAACTGCAGCCGAGTTCTGGGACAGACTGGCCTACTGGGTGAGGGCAACTCTCCAGCGACCAAGCGTTCGGCATACTTTCACCACGAAGGAAAACCTGAGATTTAGGACACCTGAGGACTTGTGAACCGCCCTCAGAGGACAAAGCATTTGGCATCAAACAAATTAAGCATATAGTTTCTACGGTTTGCTAGAAGACAAATAAATGGAGCAGAAACCGGTGCCCGCAGCACCTGGCGGGGGAGCGCCGGAGAGCCGAGGTGCTCCCGCAGGCAGCGGCCCCCGCACCTCTCCTCCACGCTCAGCCACCGCGCTGCTCCAAGTAGCACCGCTGCAGTTCTCCGTGCTCGTCCTCTCTGGCTGACAGGAAAGTCCTCTGCCAGCAGCTCTCCTCTAAATTCAGCCTCGCCTCTCGGAAGACGGTCCACCGGGATGCTGAGCGCCGAGGGCGGGGCTCGGTCCAGGCAGAGCGAGCCGTTCCTCTCAGCTCTGGCAGCGGCAGCAGGCGGACCTCCGCAGCGCCCGTTCAGGAGCGCTGCTCTGCGTGGTTCTTCGTCTCGCCTACATGTCCTCGACGCTCCACTTGTACGCAAGCTCCTGAACCGCCTTCTTGTTGGCTATCCTGGCAAAGCGCTGCTGCTCGAATCCGTTGGACCTACAAAAGTAATACCGAGCGGACCGTGGGCTGCTGCGCAGAAGCTTTTCTGAAGCAATGAAACTTTTCAGGGACGTCACGAGTTTTCCGCTGCTTCTACCCCGGCTCAGTTTCCACCTCAATCTGTGGTTACCACCACTTAGCCTCTCAGAAGCGAGTTCCTGAGGATGAGCGGGTCCCTCCCTGCCTGCTGCTGGGTGTTTGCTTCGCAGAAGCTATTGACACCCTTGGTGACAGCGCCAGCCCCGCGCCCTTCTGTCCCGGACGAGCACGTATTCATCACCCATTCGTAACTTAACACATTCAGCCTTACTAGTGCTAACAATCTCATTCACCCGATAACTGGGAATCTTTACGCTGCGAACTCTTTGAAGGAAAAGCTCGTTTATTTTTACTATTGTTCTACCACATCACTGTATCGGGAACACGTACCTGTCCACACCATCCCAGCGATGCCCGGGCCATATATTAAATCTGTTGAGCGGAGGGGCTGGTCCATTGTACCTAGGTTTTTCTAGAACCAGAAAGAGCGATACAGCCGTTTACTACTCCAGCGCAATCACGCAGTGACATCGTCATCAACCTAAGAGGTGTCCGCAGGCACAGCGCGCAGGCCGCTTAACGGCCAACGACGTTTCCTCGCAGAGGAAACTTCCAGAGATAAAAATCACCAGACTCCGGGGTGGTGAAGTGTAAGTCGCCTGATCCTGCTCTTTGTCAGCTTAGGCTAACAAACAATCGTAACCGTTACTGCTGACCAAGCCAGGAAGGGCAAACGCCGCTACTACGCCGACTCCAGAGAAGCAGTCCTTCAGGACCAAGCTGCTCTGGCAGCCCTAGGCCGTTTATTTAACGGCAGCTGCATTTCTGCGCTGCTGGGGCCTTAAACCATGCACCGGTGCAACTCGGCATCCAAACCTTTCTTTTCTTTGTTCTCTTTGGCCTTCCTTTTTTTGATGAAGTCAGCCATGGGGTCTCCTTCTCTCTCTTGCTCTCTCAGCATTCGATCCAGATCCTGGTCATCAATGTAACGGGCCAAGGGCTTCTGCATCTCTTTTATTGCATCTTCCACGTTCTGCTGCTGTTGCCTGCCCTGCGCTAGCCTGAAAACAAACACAAAGTTTCACTCCAAAACCAAGCAGTCGTTTCCCGCGACTTGCTCCGTTTGCGGGATCGATCCGAGTCCTGAACCTCCACCGTGCACGCAGCATTCCCAACGCACATCCAGCAACGGAGGGAAAAATTGAATTGAGGGGGTCTCTCAGACATAGGGAACACGTGCTCTCCCGGTCCCGGGCTCAAACTCAGAACGAAGTGGCGTGCCACCACCGCCCCCGCCGCCAGAAGCCGTATCAAAAGCAGGGAGTGGAGAGCCCCAAGCTGTAACGCGAGGCCCAAAGACGGCGCTAGGGAGCTCCGGAGAACCTTACCCTTTACCCCATTTGGCGTACTGCTCGTCTCTCTCGGACTTCGCTTCAGCTTTCTGCCTCTGCTCCAGCCGCTCCTGCGCGAGGTCCCTCTCGCGGCGTGAAGTGTAAGTCGCCTGATCCTGCTCTTTGTCAGCTTAGGCTAACAAACAATCGTAACCGTTACTGCTGACCAAGCCAGGAAGGGCAAACGCCGCTACTACGCCGACTCCAGAGAAGCAGTCCTTCAGGACCAAGCTGCTCTGGCAGCCCTAGGCCGTTTATTTAACGGCAGCTGCATTTCTGCGCTGCTGGGGCCTTAAACCATGCACCGGTGCAACTCGGCATCCAAACCTTTCTTTTCTTTGTTCTCTTTGGCCTTCCTTTTTTTGATGAAGTCAGCCATGGGGTCTCCTTCTCTCTCTTGCTCTCTCAGCATTCGATCCAGATCCTGGTCATCAATGTAACGGGCCAAGGGCTTCTGCATCTCTTTTATTGCATCTTCCACGTTCTGCTGCTGTTGCCTGCCCTGCGCTAGCCTGAAAACAAACACAAAGTTTCACTCCAAAACCAAGCAGTCGTTTCCCGCGACTTGCTCCGTTTGCGGGATCGATCCGAGTCCTGAACCTCCACCGTGCACGCAGCATTCCCAACGCACATCCAGCAACGGAGGGAAAAATTGAATTGAGGGGGTCTCTCAGACATAGGGAACACGTGCTCTCCCGGTCCCGGGCTCAAACTCAGAACGAAGTGGCGTGCCACCACCGCCCCTGCCGCCAGAAGCCGTATCAAAAGCAGGGAGTGGAGAGCCCCAAGCTGTAACGCGAGGCCCAAAGACGGCGCTAGGGAGCTCCGGAGAACCTTACCCTTTACCCCATTTGGCGTACTGCTCGTCTCTCTCGGACTTCGCTTCAGCTTTCTGCCTCTGCTCCAGCCGCTCCTGCGCGAGGTCCCTCTTGCGGCCTGACTTGTCTCGGAAGACGGTCTCAGAGTGTCGGGATTCCTCTGGAGGGGGCAGATGCCTCAAGTCACGCGCTTTGGAACATTTTGCCACCTTTCAACAACTAACCGCGACTCATTTCAACATTTCAACGTTACTTCTTCTTGCCTCTGAGAGAGCTTATCATCCAAAACCAGGCAGGATCACCACTCTTGCTTTTAGCCGCTGCCCCACGCAGCCACGCTCGTACCCTGAGCTCTTTGAGTATCGGTCTGCTTCTTCAGGCTTGCAGATGGGGCAGACAGAGAAAGCCTCTCACCCTCCCTGCGATTTCACTGGCATTGCTTTGAAATCGCCGTTTATAAGCCTTTTCTTTCAGAGGCTCAGCGACCCTACCCGAGGAATCCATCAGCGTGTCTAGACGCTGCTCCGCAGGGACGCTCTCCATCAGCACCCTAACACCAGGGCCTGACACAGCATCAGGAGACAGCTGAAAGCGGCGAAAGGGAAAGCGAGCGGGTGCTCGTGCAGCGTGGTTACGCCCCTACCTTCCAAGTGCTTGTGATTTCTCTCGTGCCTCCTGAGCTCCTGCTGTTCCCTCCGCAGCACATCAGCTGACACCAAGCCAGCTTTGACCCCAGATAACATCACGTTTGCCTGCAAATCAAACGCAAAAAAGTCACATTTACTGCGGGCCGAGAGCTGTCCAGCGATCCAGAGGCGTAACGAGGGCACGGCCCGAAATCAAGAGAGACGTGTCAGCGGAGACGGCCGCGTCACAAAGCCGCTCTGCTGGCATCCTCGCGAACAGCTTCCCCAGACCTCCAGAAACAGAGCGGACTGAGGCGGAGCTCCTCTCTCGCGCCTACCTCCCGCCTCTTCTTACTGTGAGCAGAGGGACAGGCACAGCCGCATCCACGAGGTACATGAAATTTCTACTCAGCAATCTGTAAGGCGTTGGGCTTCTACAGTTTTCTATCACCAGGAAGTAACCTACAGCTTCAACGTAACAAGGAAACTTCTACCTTCTTGGGAGACCCCTTAGCGTCACGGTGGCGATGAGGCGAGAGGTCAGGGGGACCCCTCGAACCGTGCTGATCCTTCCCGGCCGGCACAGTCCGTCGCGGGGGAGATAAATCGGAGCCTGAAGATTTGCCCTGATCTTCTTTGGGAGGACCACGCTTCGGGGAAACGCTGCGTACACGGCCTAGCCTGCGGTCTGCATCGGAGGCGTTCCGGGCACCCCTCCGTGGAGATGGAGAGTCAGAGTCGCGCCTCAGGCACCTCTGAGGCGAGGGCACCCGCCTAAGCTTTTTCGTGGCTGGAGAAGCACCTGGAGTGAAGACATACACTAACTAAAAATCACAGAATTAGACAGAATTAGTCCCACAAAAGGACTAAACGTGGTGGTGCACGAGGCCAACTCCCAGACAAATCGAGACCTTAAAGAGACGACAAGCTGCGGGGAAAAGACAAGTATGTGACACGAGTCTGTGAAGTCTCTTCCTTCTGAACACGGAGACAGGGTTTGAACTCTGTTTTCCTTCCGGACATGTTTAAGCCTTAGCCGGCTAACCCTTCGATTAATTCTAGTCCAGCTGATGAAAAAACAGGATTACAAGAACTAGCTGTACCAAAGGAAACGGCCACCTGTCCTCCGCCATTCCACGGCCGCAGACTCCTAACTCCGCGCCACTCACCTCTCGGGAGCGTGCGAACACGATCGCAGAGCGGGCAGCCAGCAAGGCACAGGACAGACGGAACAAACTCTTACGCACGCTTACCTTTTGTTCCGCTCTGCTTTTTCAGACTCGGTGACCCAGTCCTCTTTCTCCGAGGCGGTGACGAATCTGGGTCAGAATCGTACCTCTTCTTCCGTGGAGGGGACAGATCCGGAGTAGCCTGACGCTTCTGACGTGACGAGGACTTGTCAGAGACGCCGTGCCTGAGCTGAGATTGCTCTCCTTGGACTCCCCCCGATTGTGACTTGTCTGTGGCTTTGCAGCCCTTTTTCCCCACGGCGGAACCGACTCTCGTTGGGGAGACGTCTGGGGGGTCGTGGCGCTGTCGCCTGGGAGGCGACAGGTCTGGGGAGTCGTGACGCTTCCGTCTCGGGGGAGAGAGGGCCGGGGAGCCGCTGTGCTTCCTTCTTGGTGGCGACAGGTCCGGGGAGTCGTGACGCTGTCGCCTGGGAGGCGACAGGTCCGGGGAGTCGTTGGGGGGCGGCAGGTCCGGGGAGTCGTGACGCTGTCGCCTGGGAGGCGACAGGAGTCGTGACGCTGTCCGCTGTCGCCCTTCTTGGCGGGGAGAGGTCCGGGGAGTCGTGGCGCTGTCGCCTGGGAGGCAAGAGCTTGGGGGAATCGTTTCTCTCTCGCCTGGGAGGGGACAGATCCGGGGAGTCGTGGCGCTGTTGCCCGGGAGGCGATTTCTCTGGGGAGTCGTGCCGCAGCCTCCTTGGCGGCGAGCTGTCCGGGGAGTCGTGGCGCTGCCGCCTGGGAGGGGAGGAGAAGGTGAAAGCGAGAGTTAGATTTTTGTTTGTTCTGCTGTCTCCAGACTGGAAACAAAAACCAAGTGGGACCTGTAAAGCTAGCAGTAGGCGTCGAGGACGAAAACAACTTTCTGAACACAAATTCATACTTGATTCTGCACCTCCGGGTAGCGACCCGCAGAATTCCCAAAGGAGATCCCAGAAACCCTCCGAGGCAACCTGGATCACAGGAAAGCTGTAATTTTAAAGTCTCCAGGGACCCTTGCGACACTCGGGCTACAAAACCCACTTTGTGCCCTTGTATAATCATCTTCTCACAAGGAAACGCCCCAGGAGAGCCTGGACGCCGTGCGACCGCGGAACACCCCCCAGGATGCTTTCAGAAGAGAGGCGTGCTGTAACGCCACCATCCTCGGCACGTTCCGGGTCTACAGCGAGCCATCACCCAGATTTCTCTGACGCCGTCAGAGGACTGCGGGACAGCTGTTCGCGTACCGTCTGGAAACCGAGGCAGCATGCTGTCTGCCAGTTCCCCCCCCGCCCCGGCCCAGGCAGAGGTTCTTCAACAGCGGAAGAGGAATCCCTGCGTATGCCGCTTCTCACATTTCACAGCGAAGCACTTAAAAAAAAACCCGCAGAACAAGACAGACGGTACCAGAAAACCCGAAGTTCACCAAGAGAAGAATTTCTAGTTGGAGCCCCATACCTCGCGGTAGATTTGGCCGGTACCGAAATATCCGAGCTTTGCGAGTCTTCATTCTGGTCTAAAGAAAAACAATCAGAAAGTCACCGTCGTTAGGGTTCTCCACAGTTCACAATCTCTTCAGCGTTTCAAGGATTTTTTTATTTTTCTTAGCTAGTATTATTTTTAACTTGCGATGTCGTGGTTTAGAGCGGCTAAACGTTCAGGGAGAGAGGGTGGAAAGGCCTGGTCTCACCTCCTAAAAGTCGCCATTTAGTATTTGTTCGGAACTCCTCCATGAGCTTCACTTCGTCTGGACGCTCATCAATGAATTCCGCCACCTGAAGATAAAACACCAGAGTAAACAACACGGCTTTAAAGAAAAAGGAAGGAAGGATTTCCACCCTCTAACACCAACAATTAAGCGCAACTGCACTGGCGGGCGCCTGACGTGTGACCATCGTTTAGCTGCCTTCCTACAGCCGGGTCTCGAAACAGCCTTCGCCTCCAACGTTTCTCTCTTCGCTGCCAAGGCTTCCAGCCCGTGCCGCAAGCCACGCCGCAGCGGTCAGCAGGCTCCGGCAACCGCACGGTCACCTTCTGCCTCGCCTCGGGCGGCTGTTTTACAGCTGCGAGAACCACCGTACCGGCCCTACCGCAAGCTTTCGGCGCTTGTGAAAACGCGAATACGGGAAGAACAGGCTGCTGCTATCTGCAGGGAGCTAACTGAACCCCCTCGTGCTTAGAGCAGGAGAAAACACGCACCCACCCCTGCCGCAGAACCCACCAGAAGAGGAGGCAGCGAGGAAGGGTTTGGCACGCGCTGCCCAAAGAGAGCCGCCAGGCGGGCCGTAAGGAGAACGGATTTCGCTCGCGAAACCGCGTTCGGCCTAATTCCCCCGCTCACCACCGGCATGTCCCCTTCGTCCTCCTCCTCCTCCTCCTCCTTCTTCTCCTGGACGGCAGCAATGCTGCTCCAGCTGACGTCGTCGTCCACGATCCGCATCCTGGGAGCGGGGAGAGGGGCCCTGCCGTCAGGCCGCCCGCAAGGAAGGGAGCCGCCCGCAAGGAAGGGGG